ACCCCACCAGATCCCGTGCTTCTGACCGACCAGGATGCCGACCAGGCGGTAGAGGAATCACGGGGTCAACTGCGCACCCCTGCCGAACTGCCACATAGCACAACCATGATGCTGCGCATGTCCGCCGATTGGTCGATAGCGAGGTCAGCGCTCGGAGAGGCCCACAGTTTGTCGCCACCGCCCGAAGCCCCAGAGTAGGTGGGACCCGATGTGGACCCACCTTCTGCGAGGTGCAGACGTGTGCCCGACCAGCCTGAGGAGTCCACCACGATCAAAGAGCGCATGGCTTCAACCGGGCCCAGGTCAGCGCAGACCGGTGTCAGCATGGACCCCGCTCCGCATGGCGTGGCCTCATCCTCGCCGGAGCCCGCGGAGGCCCTCTGGCGGTGGTAAGCCGCCGTTTCCATTGTTCCTGCATAGGTCCTTCTTGCCGGACCACCAGCGCCGCGCCCAGTGCGGTCGGATGGGGCCTCCCCACCCATCCAACAGCCCGGCGAGCTGCGAGCCTCGGGGCTGCGATCCACGTCCGCTGGCGGCGAAGGAGGAGGAGGCGGGGGCGGTGATCTTGGCGATGGAGGAGGCGGGGGAGAGCGCTGGGGCACCGGCGCATCAGCGACACGGCGAATCTGAATGGGATACCTCAAAGTGCCGGCCCTTCCTCTCAAGGATACCCTCGGCACACGCCTGGTCGTCGCCGCCGTCGTCGCCGAAGGAAGCGGCGGCTCTTTGACGAAGAGGAACTTGCGGGTGGGGATGCGAGGAAGATCTGCCGTGTGGAGCCAGACACGGAAGTGGGACATGTCATTGCGGCTGGCTGTCTCCTCCGCGACATCGACAACGAAACCACAGCGGTCAAGAATGACGTCTGCCGTGCGCCGCGTCCAAGCATTCGCCGGCACCCCGGCAAGATCAAGCGGCACCAGGAAGGGAAGGTTCACTGCCGTGGCCTTCCGGATCCAAGGGCGGAGCGCGAGCGTGAACCCTGGACCATCGACCCTGCCTCGATCCGCCATGCGCCGCCGGAGGAGGAGGGAGTCACATAGCACAAGAAAGTCCTCCGGATAGAACGCACGGATGAAATAAACATTAAATCATTAAAAAACATGAAAAAGAAACAGGAATAGAAAAGGTAGAACAAATCAGGAACATGCATATAAAAAAGTGTGAGATGTAGTCTTTGCGGTCGTGGATATCCTCTCGTTGGGAGCTCCTAACCAGCGCCTTAGGCGCCGGCTGGCTATACCGGCGCCCGCTAGCGACGCGTAGCAGGCCGGCCCACCAGCCGAGTCAACAAAGCAAGAAGAAAAAGGAAAAAAACCAATTGTAACTGAAAATATGTGATGTCTAGGATTCGAACCCTGCAGCACATCATTAAAGGATTGATGCTTTAACCACTGCACCAGGACTTGATGCTTTGACCACTGCACCGAACTAGTTCTTTTATACACTCCTAGAAAAACTGTCGTGGTTACCATTTCCTTTAGTAAAACCAATACGTATAAATTATTTTTTTGAAAGAAAAAGAAACTTTGAAAATGAGATCATCGATTTTTACAAAATTTCATAGGTTTATCTACAAAGTTCGATGATTTCGAAAAAAGTCCATCCATTTTGAAAAAAAGTTCATGGGTTTTGGAAAAAGAGTTCATCGGTTTTGAAAAAAGTTCATCGAATTGAAAAAATGTTCATCGATTTTGAAAAGAGTTCATCAATTTTGAAAAGAGTTCATTGATTCTGAACAAGAGTTCATTGAATTGAAAAAGTTCATTGGTTTTGAAAAAGAGTTCATCGGTTTTGAAAAGAGTTCATCAATTTGAAAAATAGTTCATTTATTTTGAACAAGAGTTTATCGATTTGAAAAAACATTCATCGGTTTTGAAAAAGAGTTCATCGGTTTTGAAAAAAGTTGATCAATTTTAAAATAGTTCATAGATTTTGAAAAAGGAGTTCATCTATTTTGAAAAGATTTCGTTGATTTTGAAAATAAGTTCATTGATTTTGAAAAATAGTTCACAAATTTGAAAAGGTTCATCGAATTTTGATAAAAAAAGTTCACGAATATAACAAAGAAAAATAAAAAAAATGAACAAAACCGTTCCAACAAAGGAGAAAAAGGAAAAAGGAAAAATAAAGAAGAAAACAATGAAGAAGATGTGCATGAACACAACCGATGTGGTTGGAAGGTTGGTTATTGCTGCTTACATACAACGAAGAAGTGTTGGGTTCGAGTTCCGGGAGCTCCTAACCGGCGCCTTAAGCGCCGGTTCAGGCAGCTGGCGCTCACACTCCGCACCCCATGGGCCGGCCCACCGCGCACAGTGAAGGAAAAAAAAGGTCTCGCGTAAATAACACACAAAAAGAGCGGATACAGCGACTCGAACTCACGCTTTACGGCTACAACACGAGAACCGTTTTGCTAACCACTACAACCTGTGAACACCAGCGACTACAAGGAACACGAGCTATTTAAGACCAACGCGTCAGCGCTATTTATTAGATTTGCGAATTATTTGAAAACAATTTGGAAAAGTTATTTTTTTATAAAAAAGAATTCATCAGATTTTGAATTTGTTTACGAATTTTAAAAAATAGTTCATCGATTTTGAAAAAGGCTCATCGAATTTGAAAAAGAGTTCGTCGATTTTGAAAAAGTTTCTCAAATTTTGAAAAAGTTCATCAAATTTGAAAAATTGTTCATCGATTTTGAAAAAAAAGTCATCCATTTTGCAAAAATTCATTAAATTTGAAAAAAATCATAGAATTTTTTAAAAATGTATTTTTTATTTTTTGTTCATGATTTCAAAATGTGTTCATAGTTTTCAAATTTATTCACTTTTTCAAATTTTGTTCACAATTTTAAAATTTTCAGTGTACATGAAAGATGTTCAATGGGTATTGAAATGGTTTTTCAGTTCTTATCACAAAATTGTTCACTGTGTAGTTCAAAATTGTTCAGATTATATTACAAAAATGTTCAGTGTATAAAATTTGTTCATCTTATATCAAAAACATGTTCAGTGTATATTTGAAAATCTCTCGTTGTATATAAATTTTTGTTCATGTTCTCAATATTTGTTCACGTTTTAAAAAGATCATGGAATTTTATTTTTTTAATGTATTTTTCGTTTTTTGTTCGTGATTTCAAAACGTGTTCATAGTTTTCAACTTTATTCACTTTTTCAAATTTTGTTCATCGATTTTTCAAAACGTGAAAAAATGAAAAAGTCCATCGATTTTTGTTCGTGATTTCAAAACGTGATTTTTTTAATGTACATCGATTTTGAAAAAGTCCATCGATTTTTCTAAAAAGTTCATTGATTTAGAAACAACAATTTTGAAAAAAGTTCAACAATTTTGAAAAAATGAAAAAGAGTTCATCAAATTGAACTAAAGTTCATCGATTTTGAAAAAGAGTTCATTGGTTTTAAAAAAGAGTTCATCCATTTGAAAAGAGTTCATCAATTTTGTAAAGAGTTCATCGCTTTTGAAAAAGAGTTCATGGATTTTGAACAGAGTTCATTAGTTTTGAAAAAGATTTCATCGATTTTGAAAAGAGTTCATCGATTTTGAAAAGAGTTGACCGATTTTGAAAAAAAGTTCATTGATTTGAATTTTTTTTGTCAATTTTGAAAAAAGGTTCATTGGTTTTGAAAAAGAGTTCATCCGTTTTGAAAAGAGTTCATCGATTTTGAAAAAAATTTCATGGATTTTGAAAAGAGTTCATCGGTTTTGAAAAAGATTTCATCAATTTTGAAAAGAGTTCATCGAATTTGAAAAGAGTTCACTGATTTTGAAAAAAAAATCATTGATTTGGAAAAAAATTGATTTTTAAAAAAGTTCATTGATTTTGAAAAAGAGTTCAGTGATTTTAAAAACAGTTCATGAATTTGAAAAGGTTCATCGGATTTTGATAAAAAAAAAGGTTCACGCATTTAACAAAGAAAATGACTAAGGAAAAAAATGTACAAAATCGTTCCAACATAGGAGAAAAGGGAACAGGAAAAAGGAAAAGAAGGAAAAATTAAAAAAGAAGAAGAAGAAAAGTAGAAAGAAGATGTATTAGAACACACCTGGACTGGTTGGCCTGTTGGTTACGGTAGCTTGCTTAGAGTGAAGACGTTCTGGGTTCGATTACCACCCATGCGCATCTTTTTTTGCGGGATAAACTGAGAAAAAGGAACGTAGATGGGCCGAGCCCAGGTCAGTGCGGGGGGTATGCGCCCGTTAACGAAAACAACTAAAACGGACGCAGCGGGCGCCGTTTAGGATTTGCCCCTCTCGTCAGGGTGCCTCGTTAATAACGGGCTCATATTAACACATACCCGTGTACGTATCCCCCACGTTGCTGGCCCAAAGCAAAACCAAACCCAGAGACCCACGCGTTGAGTAACAAGGAGAGTTTGTCTAAAAAAACAAGGAGAGTTAGATTCACCTCAAACAGAAGGAGAGATTATACCTAAAAAAAGAGTAACAAAGAGAGCTAGGTTATACTTTATAACATAATAAAATATAAAGATGGCGACGGCTGTTGCAGGTGTGTTGGATTGATGTCCATGCCCTCTCAGCGCTGGTGTGAAGAAAGGAGGTAGCAGCGTGGCGGCAATTGTACCAAGGTCGAAGATGATGACCTGCTTGCGACTGATTGCAGATCCTTCTGCTGCAGGGGTCTTCTCTCAAGATTCATGGATGATGGCACATGGCTCCGGAGATCTTCTTGTGTTTTGGTTGTCTTAGGGTACTCTAGGTGTTCATGGTCCTTTGTGTTTGCGTTTCAGTGTGCTTGTAAGGGTCAACTACTTTGTACTGATTCGTGATTTGAATGACAAAATTCTACAAAAAAACATAATAAAATAAAAAAGGCATGGTTGCAACGTATTGGATTAATTATAGGACTAGTTAACAGGCCATAAGTACGTTGCAATATATCCACCATTGCTAGCCCAAAGCAAAACCAAATCCAACCCAACGACGAGAGGCGTGGATCGTGGAGACACCGGACGATGGAAATGGATCCGCCACCGGCGAGGGGAAGGAGATATGAGTGGGAGACGGCCAGGCGTCGCCTTAGGCAGGAATCCTTGGAAAGATATTGGGACCCTAACCAGCACCAGCCTGACCACGAGGCCGTCCGCGCCGGCGAATATTACGCCTACAACAGGATATGGGACACCGAGGAGATCAGTATGTCGCCTCCTTGTTAGCTAATTGCTCTTCTTTCTAACTCGGCTACAGCAACCAAGTATACAAGTATTGACTGTACTGCATGTACGTACATGCGTCGATGATGCAGCCTCTATCCCACCGATGTGTTGCACCGATGACGCTGGCCATTGCAGATCTTTTCTATCAAAGTCGAATCGATAAGAGGGGACTTAAGGTGGCCGCTCGACGTGTTTGGCATGGTCATTGCTCGCGACGTCTTGGACATTGATCGCAAGCGCAATATCATCTTCGCTCGCCCAAGGAGTAACCCTCAAACCATCACGGAGGAGGTAATCATTTGTTTTTGTGCCCATCATGTCGTCTTCACTGTCCATCGACAGTCCTTGCGGGTGAAACAAAAACATGCATTTTACTTAATTGACTATTGAATGCAGCATCCATATCTAGAACTCACGGGTCCATCCCGTGCCGTCGTGACATCTGGCGATCCAGGGAAAATCGAGATCGTGCTCAAAGTTAAGGGTGCAACTGAACCTGATGATAGAGATCTAAGTCTTCTTGTCTTACCGTTGAAGAATCGTATGTATTGTGAATATGACAGATATTACACTAGCAAGCATAGCACGATGGAGCTAACTTTCTGGCACATTGACAACTCTGTGGAGGCGACAATCGGTGCACGCCTTATTGGTGGATCATCATGGCCACATGGTTTGCAAGGCGTAATGGTCGCTCGTATTTCCGATATGGAAGATGCCGAAGTTTCTTTGCTTGCCTTTGGAGGAGGTAAATTGCATGTTGTTGCTGATGATGGCATGATCAAGCTCACACGACGTGTTGTTTCTGTTGAACATCGTGATGGAGAGCTGCAAGTTTCTATCGCTGCACGGTGTGAAAATGATGAACAAGTTATCAGTGTGAGAGATGATATAGTTTTCACACCCAAGAAAAATGGCAGAACTAGTGGTGTGCTTAATGTTGGCGCATGTAAGATCCAGCTCACTGTTGCCTGGTCACTTTTCAATTAACTTGACTAATGTAGAAATGTTGATGATTGCTCAATGACTTTGTTTGCCCCAGATCCTCCAAATAGTGATCGTTTACTGTTTTGTGACAAGTTCAGCCTTCTGTCAGTTTATTTTGTTAAAGTGGTACGAGTGTTTTATACTGGTAACTAACTAGCTAACGAACCAGAATGTCAAACATTCAACCACATTGAGGGCATCGTGGAGGGAAATTGTCTAACGACGACCTGAAACATTTCTTCGTGCACCACTGGCTAAAATATGGTTGCCACATTTGCTTCTTTTAGACGATGTTAAATCAATCTTGGCAAACTCACTCACCATATGATGCCTGTCATCATATACTTTTACCGGGAAGTGCATGGATTGTAGAGAGAATATTTGGTGCAACTCAATTGTATTCCAGGGAGTCGGTCACAATATATACACATGATGTCTTGCGTGACAAGGAAACTAATCCTACTATATCTCTAGAAGTCAACTATACAAGGCTAGAGAAGATAGGAATAGCAATACAAATATGTCACGTTCAACACCCACCCCGCAGTCGAAGCGTCGGCGTCGGCGCACTAGTAGAAAAAGGGCCAATTGTCCCGTTCGTAAGGGCCTTTTGTCCCGGTTTTGGAACCGGGACTAAAACGTCGTTACTAATGCCCTTGACCTTTAGTCACAGTTCTTACACAAACCGGGCAGATGGGCCTCCACGTGGTCGGTGCGACGAGCCCAGGCAGGAGGCCCTTTGGTCCCGGTTGGTGGCACCAACCGGGACCAATAGGCATCCACGCGTTAGCATTTCAGGTGCTGAGGTTTTTGTTTTTTTAAGGGGAGGGTTAGGGGGTTTTGGGGGGTTAATTTAGGTGTTTCATATATTGTGTTAGCTAGCTAATTAATGCAGAGAAGTGTCCTCTCTTATCTTCGTGCTTGGTCGACGCTACGTACTATATGTATAGAGAGGACTAGACACGCTAGCTAGTAAGCAAATGAAGGAAACAGAATATCGTCATGAACATATGCACACAGAGAGAAATGATATCGACCACCTCTCCTTCTCTGAGAGATTGGTCGAACAACAAGTTCTTGTAGATCTATCCGACGCTACTGGCTACATATATACAATATAATTATCTCATACAATAAAATCTCCTAATTCCAAATTAACTCAGGGTCCACATGGTATTCTCTGTCTTTAGCGATCACGTGGTGAAGAAAGAATGCCGTCAATTCCTCTTGAATTCCTCGCATACGATCTGGTGGTAGGAGTTCAACCCGCATCCGAAATATCTAATTTGAAGAAGGGGGTCAATACATATATATATGAATAAATGAAACTGAACACAAATGATGGTAATAAAATAAAATTGTGAATATTATTATTTACGCAATTCATATTGTTTGTCGGAGTAGCCCCGCTCACAGGTCGTGTGGCGAATGAACTCACAAATGTAGTATCCACAATAATTATTCCCTTGTTCCCGCCACAACCACTTTACAAGAAATAGAGGTCAATCAAACTGATAATTAGCAAGCATGCTAAATGGTATTGATAAAACTAGCCCTTGAATCACTAGGAGATGCGTGGAATATGCTACTATAGTACTTACTTTCGGGTGTCTAAATTGCAGCTTCTTCGGCAGTCCCGGAGTTTTTGAGGTGAATTTATTCCAAACCCTGCCAGACAAAGAAAACAATTACTTGATATTAGGAAATGAACATATTGAAGTTGCCGATATGGTGCGAATAATGATTGATTTAACTTACTTCTCTAGAATTGCTGTCATGTCTGCATACTCCTTGGGATCTTTTCGTCTCGAGTCTAAGACGGTTACTAGTCCCTCCTCAAGCTTAATCTCTAGGAGAATATAGTGGAAGCTGCGCACGCATGCATAACTCATCAATTACATTACTATAACCTCGACTAATAAGGGAAACCGAATATGCACAAGACAGTAGCACTCACTAGAATTCGTAAGGGAAGAGTATTATAGCTTTGTTTTGATTTAATACAAACGATTGTAGCAGCTTGCCCTCGGTATCTTTGGCCTGAAATTTAACCATATATGCATCTATGAGATTTGTGTTAATGAACCCAATATCACAGATTTGTCTTTTCTTCAATTTGGCGATCTTCAATCTGCATAATATAGTGAGGATAATTAAAAATACATGCAATGAAAGAGCTGACCTATATATAGAGACTTAATGACAGAAGTAGTAGTACTTACATGCAGTAGCAAGTGATCATTAACTTATGGAGGGCCTTTAGATTGAAAAACTCGAAGAACTCCTCAAATGGAACATTCAACAGTTCAATTCCAACGAGGTCATGCTCCTCTCTAACTCTCAGCGTCAAAATATTCCTCCCCTCAGACTCTCTGCAGGTTTTCATATACCAATCATGGAATCTTCGCATCATCGTTGTTAGAGATCTTTCATCTTTGACCAGAGGCTTCCCGTACTCGTATTTGTGTTCGTCCACCTCCATTATATCAAGATGTGCATCGTCGGGCAGGTAATCTCCAAGATTGTTATAACCAGGCACCATTGTCCCGCCCGGATGATTAGCGACGATGCTAGACACCTGGAGCAGGGGGGGGGGGACGATTGGTTCGCTTGTTCGCCGAGCTGGGCAACTTTTTTCCAAGCTCGTCGTTCTGCGTACCTTTGACCACTGACAGTACTTCCCGACCGCTCTGCTTCGATAAATGACTTTGTAAGAATGCGCTCATAGTTGCCTTTCATCGGAGACTTTGGTGGTTTCTTCAGGGCAGCCAGAGTATGCTTCGCTTTTACCAGATCTATCTTCTCCTCCGGAGGTGGATTTTTCTTTGCTTTGACCCCTTCAAACAAGTCGGTCACTTCGGCTTGCACGATCTTCGTGTTTTCCTCCTGGCTCCTCTCGTGTGGTAACTTCTCTAGAGTCTTCAGAGAAGGACCGTATCTGTATTGCCTGCCTCTGGCTGTACTGCTAGACGCCGGAGTAGACGGAGCAGCTACGGCTGACTTACCTTTCTTACGAGGCGGAGGAGAAGGACGACGCGCCGGAGCAGCCGGAGCGGCGGCGGGTCTCTTCCGCCCTTGTTGACGAGGCGGTTAAGGAGGAGGCTGGCTGCTTGGGCGCGCTGGCGCAGGTGGAGAATGAGGCGGAGTGCTGCCACGCGCCGGAGAAGGAGGCTGAGTGCCCTGATCACTCGCCGGAGGAGGAGGCGGAGTGCCCTGACTCACCGGAGGAGGTGGAGGAGGTGGAGGTGTCTAGTTTAGAAGGTTGATGAGCTCCTTCCGCCATAGGCATGGAGTCTTCAGAGAAGAACCCAGCCGAATCTCCCCTTCACCCGTAGGGTGGTCAAGCTCAAGGTCCTCAAATCCGTCCGTTATTTGATCCACCATCACCCTAGCATATTCTTTTGGAATCGACCGACCGTGGTAGGTTGTGCCAGGTTCAGTAGGTAAAATAGAGCCAACAGCCGCCTTGACTTTCAATGTCATCCATCGCGCCATAAGGTGGCAATGTTGAGACTCCGTGATAGCATCCACGTGGTAGCTAGCAGGAGCCGTGAAGACAGGCTCCAGCTGCTGAGTCTGCTCGGTGGAAGCCACGCTGCTTCTCCGCTGAGATGGCGGGGTAGCTTCAAGGGAAGCTTCGGCAGGTCGTTTGCTGTGATCTGCTTCTCATTCCTCTAGCCCTTGTACCCTTTCGTGCAGCGCCTGCAGTTGGCTATGCTCCACTTTCTTCCTTCTCTCCTTGCTTTTGTAACCCCTGCGTCTGGAAACCCAACCTTCCACGGAACAGAGCCTGGCGTGCCTCGTGTCCGTCCAGGGTGCTCAGGATTCCCGAGGGCCATTGTCAGCTCGTCGTTCTCTCTGTCTGGAATGAACGTCCCTTGCTGCGCTTTCTCGATATACTCCTGAAGCCTCCTGATGGGTATTCGCAGTTGCTCTTCCGTCCAAACACACTTCCCTGATACAGGGTCCAAGGTTCCGCCAACCCCGAATAATCAAGTCCGGTAACGGTCTGGCCAGTTCAATGTCTCTGGTTCGACCCCTTTAGCAATCAGGTCATTCTCAGCCTTGTCCCACAAAGGTCGGGCTTTGAGGCAGCCACCTAACCCCGTGCGATGGTGATGCTTCTTTTCGCAGCATTTTTCTTGTTTGTCACTGACATCTTCTTACTCTTTTCCGTTGTCTTGTGGGCCACAAATGCGGGCCAATGATCTCTAATCTTCTCATACTTTTCGATGAATTCTAGTGTCAGTTCTTTGTCGACAAACTCTGTGTTTTAGCTCATTCTTCAACCTCATGAATAGTTCTGCCATCTTCTTAAGAGCATGAGACTTTATCAATTGCTCTTTAACTGTCTTCTCCGGATCCTCCTCTGGTGGTAGGGTGAAATTTTTCTTAAGCGTTGTCCAAAGATCTTCTTTCTGCATATCGGAGACATAAGACACCTCAGGGTCTTCTTTCTTAGGCTTTAACCATTGGTGGATACTGATCGGGATCTTGTCCCTAACAAGAACCCCGCACTGAGCACGAAATGCATGCCTTGTCCGGATGGGTTCAATCGGCTTGCCATCGCACGCGATTGTTGTGATCTCAAACCTTTCATCTGAGTGCAACTTTTTCTTCGGGCCTCGTTTCTTTACCGAAGTTGTGCTCGACCCGGAGGGCTAGAGAAAAGAAGAAAGACGAGAGTTAATTAATATGTGTACATATGAAAGCAATGAATGCATCAATTAGCTAGTCAGCACGGGCTTAACTAATATATATACCTGGCCGGACTAGGTTCGGTCACCGGAGCCGTCATCACGGTCTCCTTCTTGTACATGCATTGGGTCACCGGAGCCATCATAATGATAGTCTTCTTCTTCACTACCCCGTCCTTCCAAACCATCGGTGTCATTGAGAAACGACGCAACGACATCACTTCCTTTTGCAATTATGCCCCCCATCATCGCTTCTGTTGCTTCGTCTCGGGGGTGCTCCAGAGTTTCTGCCAATATTTACAAAAT